CTCCAGCTCCAGCTCTGACTGAGGCTCGGGCTCAGGCTGCGACACAGGCAACATGAAAGCGCCGTTGCATGCAACCGCACGAATGCCGCATTTGTGCCTTTGTAGCTGGCACAGGGTGCAGTGCGGTGCAGTTCAGTCGATTGTAGATTTCAGCGGGAACGGGGGCTGGGAGGGCTGGGTGGCTCGCTGATGCACTCGGGCATAAATCGCTTTAACATGGCTCGCTTTTGTGCCGCGCCGCCGCCTCCTCACCACTTAGCCACCCCGTTTGGTTGGCGCTGCCCCCATCAACACAGTTCGCAGTTCGCGGCAGACATGGCACCACGGCGTGTGTTGCCCAAAAGTTGTCTCTTGCGCTCTCGCTCTCTCTCTCTCTCTCTCTCTCTCGCTCGCTCACTCTCTCTCTGCTTCTTCTGTGTGTGCGTGTGCTTGCGTCGACATCGTTTCAACTATCAACAATCTTGGGCAACGGAGCGTTCCCATATCTTTGGCTGCCTTTTGCGGCTTTTGTTCTTGTTCTTCATTCAACTTAATTCGCCTTAACTCAACTTAACTCAGCTCGCCCCGCCTCGCCTCGCCTCGTCTTGCCTTGCCTCGTCTTGCCGTTGCGCCTAGCCACGCCACAGTTCATGCTTTGTGCTTTTGTGCGGGCATTCGCTTTTGAGCAGCGAGCGAGAGAGCGTCACAATGTAATGTGCTCTCCTCTCACAAAGCTTTGCTGACTTCCGTTTGAAATGCAATCAAAGCAAATAATTAGCTGTGCAAGGGTCAGCAGCAAAAATGCGATAAAGCTTTTTGAAAGCGATCGCAAACAAGACACGTTAAGCTTTTGACGGCCTGCAGGGAGCTGCCAGGCAGGTGCTTATTCAAAATGGCGGTCAATGTCCAGTTAAGATGGCGTTTAATTAAATGTCACATCCAGTTAAGGGCTCGCTAAGGTGCCGGCTAAAAGTCTTGGTTACTTTACTTGTCACTTTAACTAACTGTTAAATAAAATGCAATTGCGAGTGCTTCTACATCCAAATAGGATGGCAACCCTGCGACTTAACTCAGCTGTGGGTATAAACAAAGACAATATAAACACTAAGATGAGTAACGCTATACAACAAAATGCTACTATGCAGCTTGATTTTTTGAAAACTGAAAACGAAAACGAAATCAGTATCATTGCGCCCTCTCAACTGAAGGAGCGAAAAAGCTAAAAATAGAATGTACTCTCAGCTTCGGCTCTATGATTGCCGAAAGAATCGACGCTGAGCACCAGCTTGCTGAAGACAAGCTGGCGACTAACTTCGATGCTCGTGTCAGCATCAACAAGCCGCGACTTCGTCTGCCTTTAGAGAGCGAACAGCCAGTCGGCTGCCATGTCGCGTAGAGTGGGAAAAGCCAGATGAGAAGCCAGGCTAGAAATTTTGCGTCGCATTCAAATGTATGGGCGTTACTCATCTTAAGACAATATGTCTTTCGTATAATCCATTGAAATTGGAGGAGGTATCGCTGTGCCCATATGCCTGCTATTGGTCAGCATACAATAATCAAGTCGATCTTGTCCGTCCGGCAATCTGTATAAGTGAATGAGTTCAGAGAGAACTAGAGACTCAAGTGTAGAGTGTATGTTCTTGTGATCTTGTTCTAAACGCAAATCAACTATATTTCAAAGAGAGCCCGTTTCTATTAAATCGGTAGATATCGATTGTCTGTCAAGGCTTTGCGTATATCGTAGCCTATGAGAGATACGCATATCAAGTTTTGGGTGGTTATGCTGACAAAACTGCGCCCATTATCGATGTTTTGGAAATGGAGGGATATACCAAAAAATATGGTTCTGCTTGTGAGATACGAGAAAATACATATAACATTTTAATCGGCTTTAAATCGGCACGGTTTGAGTAAATTACGTCTAGAGCTGTCATTCAAAATGTAATCAGTATCTTAGTATTTTAACTTCTGAATATCTGAATATCAAATATTTTCGTCCGGCCAAATTTAAGGTGTGAGGTAGCATATTCAGAAAACAATGCCCGAATTTAGTGGCCACAAGGTAATATTGTTTGGTCTGGCAGCACTGGCATTCGTTAGCTATTGCATTTACTTTGACCACAAACGCTGCAAAGATCCTCAATACAGACGGAAAGTGCACGAGCGACGGCAACTGGAAATAGCGCAACCCGCCACCTACTGTAAGTCCCCGCTCAATGCCGAAGTGGTCGAATACTTTTTGCGGCACGTGTATCTGGGTGAAACATATGTGCGGCGCAATGACTGGGAGAGGGCCGTCCACTACTTTGCCAATGCGATTATGATCTGTGCGGATCCACATATCCTGCTGTGCAAATTACAAACCGTGGTACCCGTTGAGCTCTATAGGAGGATCATGGACAGGGTGCGCGTGCTCGTCCGCACGTCCGACAATTGGAGTAAGTTATCGAGCTCAATGGCCGAAACCTTTACAACTAGTCCGGAGAGGACGATTGATAAGACGAGCTCGCGAACATCCTGTATCGAAGAATGTAGCCAGGACAATTGATGTCAGCTTAAAGAGCATGTTAGTTATTTTTCTGTTAGAGCTTTCGATTAAAATGTTTTACATGGGTGATATTTAAATGCTAGCCAAAGAAACCGACAAGTGAGTTTCTATTGACGAACCTATATTGGAGCTAATGGAGCTGGATGCGTTGGATCAATAATCGTTCCATTAAGGGTGGCTTTGATTATGGCTAAAACCATTGGCTCTACTAATTAAATAAAATAATACAAATCAATACTCTTCTAGTTTTAAAGGCAACCTCATTTGCAGTTGGTTTAGCAAGGGGTATCTGAAGCTAACCAGTTTGTAGTCGAATTCTGTGGGATACCTTAAACAATATTTAAGATCAACCCTTTAGTGATTTAGGATTTTCCATTATTACTGACGTAAGGGTTGTCATTTCATCAGTGCTATAGGCAATGAGGGCTACAGACTTAACTAAAGACGACACAATATTAATATATGAATTGGGGTAGCACATGGCATAACAAACTTTCATTTAAATATTTCAAAGGCGGCTTTAAAGCACAGATAGGGAACTTGCTGAGCCCATTTTTCAAATATATATATCGGTTCCTGCGCTTTTCTGTTTTAATTAATAAGGTCTACTACAGCAACACAGCTGTAAACCAAAGCCTCAGCCAGCGGCGTTGCTCGCTTTTCCGTTCTCGCTTGTCGTAGGACGCGATAAAATTCGCAACGAGTTTAAGCTTCCAGAGACTGACAAAGCGAGTGCCAACCTGCAGTCAATAGCAAAGTCTATAATGATAGAAATCGAATGTTCTTGGAATAGCTATAAAGTTGATCTGCTCATCTCTTTTTTCTTTTTAACCATATAAATAATATATAACCAATAGCTATGTATAGTTTCGTGATCAGGACGACGAGCTGAGTCTGATCTGGCTATGCCCGTCTCTCTGCCGGCATGACGATCTCGAAAACTATAAGTTCGAGACTTGAAATAAGAAATACATAAATTCGAACGAGCTAGTTTTTAACTGCGATATTTTCCCCCTTTTCAACGATGTCGATAAATATCGATTTTGAAACAAGGTTCCTAAAGCATAGCCCAGGGATTGAACGAGCTAGATACACAAAAATTGGTACATGGGCTCTCGTATAGTATACAAGGAGTAGGATTATTTCACCTATTGAATACCTTCTCCCGCTCCGACCAATATGAAAAAGGCGGCATTTTTTACAAGTAAGAGGGTTTTAGTCGGAATACCCCGACTAGGAGATTTCATGAACCTCGCGTCTACCTGCTTCTTCCCTTAGATCCAAACTGAGTGAAGATCATTCTTGATCTACTTTGTCGTATATTGCCCGATTTTTATGAGATTTCTAAGGCATCAATATGGAGCCCCCAAGGCCATACGTCCACAATTTTTCTGAATAAATTTGATGGCATCGGGAAATATGAGATATTCTTGATCTGTGTATGTTAACGGAGAGTCTTCAGATCAAATTTGGCATCTTAAGCCCTTATAAGCTTTGAAATATGATCAAAAACCAGATTCCGATATCGATTTTGTTCGATTTCATGGAAACGGGGAACGGGAAAGATTGCAACGACTTGGCAAAAGAAGAAGCTAGGTTTAAAGTTTCTCTTATAGTCTTGAGATCGAGTCGGCTACTGACTCTGCCCAAAATATATATATACTTCATTAGATCAGAGATGTCTCCGTCTGCCTGTTACGTACTTTGCACCAAACCATTTTGCCTTTTTACCCTTATTGACATAGTTAAGCCCTCTTTTACTTGTTATTTGTATAAGATGTCGCGGCTTTAATAATATAGTCTTAGATTTAGATATTTTTGGCAGCATTAACCATATTTATGGGGGGTCATGTGGAAAATATGAACTTTTTAATTGGCCAATATGATTTTCCCGTCGGTTTTTTTGTTTTTTTCATTGTACGTCTCAAAATATATTTTATACAAAACGTTAAAGAGAAAGTCTTATCTATGAAGTCGTTTGTATGCCAAACAAATCTTTGCAATTATGTGAGCCCCTTTTACAAAATGTATTCAATCACACTTAATATGGAGTTTTGAAAATGAGTCTAGGGTCAAAAATCCAACGGTCGTTCAGGCAACTCAAGGTTGAGTGTGAAGAACTTATTTTATAGATTTTCCCAAGGAACTTTGAAAGTGAATTCAAAGTCAATCGGATTGTAAGCAAATAAGATGCATTTAATGATTTTCCATTCATTTTCCACAGTTGCGAGTGGAATTAAAAGGAAAGGGAAAGGGAAATTAAAAGGAACTGCAGCGTAAAATGCAGCTTTGTGCGTTGATTACCACCCGGTCAGTACGTCAATCAGTCAGTCAAACAGTCGTTCAATCAGTCAGTCAATAAGTCACTTTCCAGCATTATTTCTATCCACGAGGATGGAACTGGATCTTTAGTTGAATTCGATTCTGTGTTAAATGGAATCGACTTTCACATTACGATTTCGTATGTACTCACTTGTTAAGGCGATCCGTGTCGTTGTCGGCCAGGTTCAGGAGGTAGGCGACGAACTCGACGTCGTTCTTGAACTGCAGCCGGGTGCGCATGTGCTCCCATTTCTCGGCGTTCTTGGTGCCAATGTAGATGTTCTTGCTGTAGTTCTGATGGCGATATTTGCGTCGTTCGCTGGCTGCGCTGCCACTGCCGCTGCCGCTGCCGCTACCAGCGCTGCTAGACTGTTGCGGCTGCTGCTGTTGCTGGTGCAGCTGTTGCTGCTGCTGCTGTTGGTGCTGCTGCTGGAGCTGCTGTGGGTGCTGCTGCTGCTGGTGCTGCTGCTGGTGGTGCTGCTGGAGCGAGCTGCTGCCGTGGCGTGAGGGCTGCTGCTCGCCGCTGCCACAGTTGATGCCGCTACCCAGGGTCGAACTGAGCGCATGGTTGCTGTTGTTGTTCGTTGAAAAGCTGGTGTTGCTGTTGCCGCCCATGAGGCTGCTCGGCGCAGCAATGCTGTTGCTGCATCCGCCAATGCCGCCGCCAATGCCGCTGCCAATGCCGAGGCCAATGCTGCCGCCGACATTGCTAACCATATCCAGCACCGAGCTGGCATTCTGGCTGTGATGCTCCAGTTGTGCGGCCGTCACATTTGCTGCGTTCAGCTTGGCAGCCGCTGCTGCTGCGGCTGCTGCTGCTGCTGCTGCCGCCGCGGCCACTGCGCTCATGTGCAAGCCGCTGCTCTCGGCGGCGGCGGTGCTGCTCAGATGCGTCGATGTCAGCGCCGTGCGGCTGTCCAGATGACTGCTGGCCGCGTCCCCATCCGCATCCGCATCCTCATCCTCATCATCGTCGTCCTCGTCGTCATCCTCGTCATCGTAGTCTGGCGGCTCCTGGCTGTGATCGTGCGAGCTAATTCCGTGCCGCAAATCGGCGGGCAATGCGGGCGGCGCCAGGGCGTGCACGTTATTTATGTTGTTGTTGTTGCTGTTGTTGTTGTTCATGTTGTTGTTGCTGCTGCTACCAATGTGCTGATCCATGACATCGTCATCTTCGTCGTCTTCATCGTCATAGTCGTCGTCGTCCTCATCCAGCTGCTCCTCGTCCTCCTCATCAATTTCGCCTTTGTTGTTGCCATTGTTGTTGTTGTTGTTGTTGTTGTTATTGTAATGATGTTGCTCTTGATGCTGCTGTTGCTGCTGTTGTTGTTTGCCATTGTGCAATGCGCTGACCGCTGCAGCCACAACCGCCGTGGCCGCAGCTGCTGCTGCTGCTTGAGCCGCTGTTGCGCTGCTGTTGCTGTCGTCGCTGCTATGCGAGCTGCTGCTGCTACTTCTGCTGCTGCTGTTGTTGTTGTTGTTGTTGTTGTTGTGCTGACTGCTGCTGTGCAAACTGTTGTTGCTCAGCGAGTTGCCATTGTTGTTGTTGCTGTTAGCATTGTTGTTGCCCACATTGGCGCTGCTGCTGCTGTTGCTGCCGCTGCTGGCGCTCAATGCGGCTGCTGCTGCCGCTGCTGCAGCAGCTGCGGCGCGACTGAGGAATGGCGCGCGTGGCACTAATGGCGTATCGGAATTATCGGAGCTGTCATTAAAATCGAATGCGCTAAAGTCGGCCGCGTTACTGCTTGCTGCCGCTGCTGCTGCTGCTGATGACGTTGATGTTGCTGACGCACTTGCTGTTCTTGCTTTTGACATGTTTGCATCTGCGCTTGTCTTGCTGCTATTTCGGTTGTTGTTGTTGCTGCTGCTGTGTATGTGGTTGTTGTTGCTGCTGCTGGCGATGCTGCTGCTGCAGGTGCTGCTGGTGCTGCTGCTGCGACTGCTGCTGCCGCCGCTTATTGGCGTCGTTGCACGGTGCTGATGAACGGCTTGGCAGCGCTTAGTTGTTGTTGTTGTTGTTGTTATAGCCTGTGTTGTTGTTATTGTTGTCTGGGTTGCGCTTTGCCGAACGCTGCTCAGTTTTTGCTATTTGTTGTTGTGGCTGCTGCTGCTGCTGCGTCGCGAATTGCTGCTGCTGCTGCTGCTGACGACGCCTCTCTCGGCCTCTGCTACCGTCGCTGTTGCTGTCGCTGACGCTGACGCCGCCGCTGGCGATGCTTCTCTTGGCGCCTCTCTTAGCCTCTGCTGCTGTTTTTGCTTCTGCTTCTTCTTCATTATTCACGCACACACGCCGCGTGCGAGCTGCACACACACGTACACGCACACACACACACACACACACACACACACAGACGCAAACAGACGTACACAGTCTCACACACTACACTCGTTGTTGTTGCTGCTGCTTATGCTGCTGTTGCATTGCTTGCGTTTTTAGTTGCTCTGCTTTCTAATGTTGCTGTTGCTGTTGTTGTTGTTGTTTTTTTTTTAATTTGATATTATTGTTGTGTGTTTGTTTTTGTTATTGTTGTTGTTTTCCTGTTTTTGCAATTGTAGCTTTTTGGTGAGATGCAAAGAAAAAATTTTGAAATGGAATACGAAGCGTCGTTTTATCTACACCCACGTACAGCAACTACACACCTATACACCTACAGACACACACGCACACTCACACACCGAGCTGTGACGTCGACGCCGACGCATGCAGCGCAACGTGAGCGAGCGAGAAGCAGCGGGAGCTAAAATTAGCGAGCGCGAAAGTGCAAAAAAAAGGAAAGGAAAAAAAAACGAAAAGCTCGTTAGGTCCCGTTACTCGCTGTAGCTTTGGCGTTGCCTGCGTGCGTTTCACAGCGCCGAGTGGCAACGCTGTGCGCCGACGTTCCTTTCGACCACTTTTTTTGCGTTCATTTTAGACTCGTTTTTGTTGTTCTTTCTTGGAGTCGTCCTTTTCCTATTGCAATTATTATTATTTTTCTTGTATGGTTTTTGCCTGCATTGCCGAATTCCTGGCCAATATCGTAATTTTTCCTGGCAGCGCAATCGTTTTCCGATTGCAGCTGTTATGCCTACGCCCCACTCACACAGGACGATTGGAAAGCAGCCACAAAAAAACTATTGTTGAAAAAAAAAAATAAAAATAAAAAAGGGAACACTCTTTACAAGAACAACAAGAAACGGGAAAAGAAAAAAATTTGCATGAATTTGTTGCGCCTTGCTGTTGAGGAGGGCGTGCAGCGGCTTTGTTATTTGTTGTTGTCTGCTGTTCAAGAATTATTTTATCTTTTTTATTTGCCGTCCCACGCTCTGTGCATGTGTGCATATGTGCGTGTGTGGGAGTGTGACACCCACCCAGTGCTTGCCAGTGTGTTCGCTCATTGAGCGGGGCAGGGGCTGCGGGCCTGTGCTGCGTGGGGGGCGGGTGCTAGACGTTTCGCCTTCGCCGCCGCTGCACTTTTTGTCATTTGCTTACTGCGTTTTCTTCGCTTCGCTTTGATTTTTTTTCTCACTGTTCACTTTATTTTGCACGCACTCCAAAAGAATTTATCAAAAAATAAATAATAGTTAAAAATTTTAGCTGTTCTTGTAATTGTTGAACTGTTGTTGTAGTTGTTATTATTTTTATTTATTTTTAGGCTCTTTCTGTTGTTTGGTAATCCGCCGTTTTTGCCTGTTTCGAGCGTTTTCTCCGCAGCGTTCATATGCCGTTACTCGCTGGTCGCGTCGGAATGAAGGACTTTTTATTTATGTGTATGTCCTCGTCGCAGCTATCGTCGTCGTCGCCGTCGCCGCCGCGTCGCTGTCGCAGCGCCAGCCATTTCACCATATCTATGTGTGTGCCTGCGCGCGCTTGGCTGTGTCTGTGTGTCTCTGTGTGCGTGTGTGTGTGTGTGCCTGCGTGTGTGAGAGTGAGCCTGTGTTGGAGTGCGAAAAAGTTTCTGCGAGCGACGCCGCCAAAACGCCACAAAGACACACACACACAGACACACACACACACACAAATACATACACACACACAAATACACACACACGCATGCAAGCAGACTCTCGCAAACCAAAAGCTCAGCCAAGTCGCGCCATTCCGTCGTCTATGTGGAGAGCCCGTGCACAGTGCGACCGAAAGCCCTTGTACGCCTGTATGCCTGTGTGTGTGTTGGGCAGCAAGTAGGGAGGGGGGGGGGTTGCTTATACACGCGAATTGAGATGACGACGACAACGACATGAACGCTGACTGCGAGGACGAGGACATTGTTGATTACACCGCGACAAAAAGGTTGCGAGATCAAAACAAAAAGCAGTTGGGCAACACGCAAAAACTATCGAATCTACGATATCGATAGCACTCAGGTTGAAAGTTTTTATGCCCCGTGCACATTTTTTAAATACTTGTATGCTAGATTTTTAAACTTAGGGATATCTATATCATTCACAGTTTTAAAGATAAACTCGCCAAACTTGACAGAAAGATTGGATTGGATTTAAGCAAAAGAGTCTTTCTCAATCAAATATTGTATCATAATTCCTCAGCATTTTTTCTATTCTCATTTTTATCTAGTTTAAAAATAAAAATTGTGTTATTTTATTCGATCAATCTATAAAAATGATTTTTAATGTTGTCTAGGCAAAGGACTGCCAGAGAATTGAATGTGTGGAATGGAATTGCTGAAACTATGTTTCCTTTTTTTTAAAGTGGTGTGGCTCGAGGTTTGAGAATCAAGTTTTCCATCCGATTTTTCTTCATATTTTGTACAATTTTCAATAGAGCAATTCGAAAAAATATAAATGAAATCAATTACATTAACGTAATTTTTTGTATTAAAATAAGTTCATATTTTACATTTTGAGTACAGAAAATAAATAAAAGCTGTCTAATTTGTATAAAAATATGATTCGGTTCAGGCTTGGATTCAGCTGCTCCTGGTCTGCTTTTAAGTCCGTTTCACTGTAAATAAGAAATTATAAATTGGTCTAAAAACGTTTTGCAGTCTCAGTTGTGATATGGTGAGGGTTGGCGAAAAAAGTTCTAGTTGTGATTATTGTGAAGGAAATTGCATTGTGATATTTCGCTCAGTGCATGCATTTTGCCGCCTGACATCGCCACACATCGTCATCTGCGCCATGTACTATGTTGCCGCCTTCGTGCTCATCCCCGTCCCCGTCCCCGCCCCGCCCCCGCCCCCGCCCCTACCAGCGCCTCCGCCACCGTATCCACGTTATCGTTGACGTTATTGCCACGACGGCCGCCGTTGCTGTCGCAGTTAGCAGCAAGGCACAGGCACACTGAGTGTGGAGGAGGTGGGGGTGGTGTGTGAGGCAGGGACAACCCGATGGCGCCACCCCCAAAAGGTCTATGCCGAAAACAAGGCACACGGCTCATAGCCGTTGCCAGAGCCAGCCGGAGACGCAGTCGTGTCCACCCCGTCCACACTGGTCATAAATCGAATTTTTGTTTATGTAGTGGTAAAGCTGCTGGGAAGCGAAGCAGTTGCCGATGCGCCCGCGCTGCGTCCCGCTGGCCCCCCGCGCGTCGGCATTCCGCTGCCGCGGCGCACAGCCCACGGCCCACGGCCCACAGTCCGCATCCTGTCATACCAAAGCACACGGACTGCTGACGTTGGCTTTGGCGTCGGCGTCGGCGTCAGCGACGCCGTCGGCAGCGACTGCGACTGCGAGGCGGCGCGAATGCTTTACGGTTTGTTGTGCTTTGCGATACCTTCCCTGTCGCTGGGTGGGTCGATGCTGTCGCTAGCGTCGTTGGGACACGCCGTGTGCGTGCAAGTGTGTGTGCGGGTGGTTGTTCTGCCGGCGTCTGTGTGGGCAGCGGGCAGCAGGCAGCAGGCAGCGCTCTGTCGTCTTCGTTGTCCTCGCCTGTAGGCGGTGGGGTGGTTGGGCGGCTACTTCGCTCTTTTGCGCCTGCTCCTGCTCGCAATTCGCATCTCTTACGGCCGCTCGTTACTTTTGGCGCCCCAGAACGTATGCAATATTTTTTTTCTCTATGCGCTGGGGGTTGGAAAATTAAAATTCCTTGTGCCACGCGTACCTAAAAGTGTTGGTGTGTGTGTGTGCGTGTGTGTGTGTGCGTGCGTGAGTGTGGGAAAATGTTGTGAAAACAAAATGTGCGAGAGCCAGTATGTGTGTCTGTGTGTGTGTATGCGTGTGCGTGTGCGTGTTTGGGTACTCGCCTATAACACTCGTTGAAATCTACTCGTTGCATTTGCAAGTTTACGGTTAAGCTTTAAAAGGCGAAGTCAAAGAGTATCAAATTATTATAATATAGATTACTATAATTAACATTGACTTACCTAATACATATTTCCAAGGAGAAATTCTTTGATAGTACAAGTATTAGGTATAAAACAAAGCCAGATAAACAATATCATTTATAATCGATAAATATATATATCGGAATGTGAGAATATTAGATAATCGATAACTAACCTAATTAATATTTAAATGGAGAATTCCTTTGATAGTACAATTATTGGTAAACAAAACATAGTCAGATAAATCGAACAATTTTTGTGCGATAGATTAATTTATTGAATTGTGACAATATCCTATTATAAGCAATGTTTCGAAAAGGTCACCGAACACGTCTAGTTATATATTTGGGATAATTTGTCAGCATATGAAAAAGTATATATATATATTTAGAAGATATGTTTCAGTATTTTTGGAAATACTGAAAAAATGTCCCAAATACGTAAATGAACGTGTAAATATATATTCAAATAAAATATATATTTAAATTGGAAAGTGTTTATTACGAAATATAATCAGTAAACTTCAATAGTTATATGTGTAAATTTAATGTACTGCATTATCTCACATAAGACATTATGCATTTTATAAATACACAGAAAATAAAATAAATGTAGATTTATGGTTATACTAATAATATTTGTTGAAGTCATCTTCCTCTCTCACATTTCTATGAAAATTAAGTTTTTATTATTATTAGAAAACTATGCGTTGTTGATCCTTGATACTTGATCGTCATGAGACTTAAGACTTGGTATATATATATGTATATATATATATATGCCTGCATTTATCTATGCCCTTTCTCTCCCAAACATATCGTAAAACCAATATTTCATAAAGTTTGCTCACTGACTTGAAGTTTTAGCCTTATATTAATAGTCCAGAAAACTTTTTTCGACTACTTTTACACCTCGAACAGAGTATTGCACAGTCGGTCACGTACGATGCTTACTTGTTTAGTTTAAAAAATTATTCTAGTCCTTAATATTATTATATTCAGGCAAGTATTTCTTTGCTGAAAGCTTAAAAGTTAACAGTTCAGCGGATTGGTGCATAGGCAGGCTCGATCGAAAAGCAGCAAGCTTTGTGTTTATTTCGCACGACGAGCTTTTCGCCTTCAAGTTGTATTCTCATCCAAAGCTGCACTAGGACAAGAACTATTTGATGAAAGCTCTTGCAGCTTAAAAAGTTCAGCGAAGTTCAGTAAAATCTTGCGCCCCCTGGTGGGCGCATTTTGCATTTCCGCTACATAACTCTGAATGCGCGAAGCCTGCAATGAGGGTTGGCAATGTCATCTTTGGCGCATGCGTTAGCGCTGAGGCTCTCTTCGGCTCTCTCTCGGTCTCTGGAGCTCTCTGATATTGTCATCGTGTGTTCGTCGTTTTGAGGTTAAGCGCTGCAAATGTCAAAGGCATGACTTCAGTTTCAATTTCAGTTTCAGTGCGTACTCTGCATTTGGAGCACTTCACAGCGTACACAAACCCCTAAAACGGTATTTCTCAAACACGACAAAGTATTTTCAAAATATTTGAACAGAAACTATAAAAACGTGTTTGCTTAGCCAGATTAAATATCGCGTATTTATCTGATTTATTGTTATTTTTTTTGTTTTTTTTTTGTTTTTGTTCATTTTTGTGTAAATCGTGTTAACATTCTTGACATCAAATCAAATTTCCCCGCTATGTTCTGTTTAGAAACGCGCGCGTGTTCACCAGCGTGAATGTGTGGTTGTGTGTGTGTGAGTTGTTGGGAGTGTGTGTTAATGTATTGACAGTGTGGAGCGTACTTATTATATAAAGTGCTTGCTTATTGTCAATTGACAGTTTACTGTAGCTTTGATTTCCATGCCGCTTGCCAGGCCCTTTGGTGTTGCCACTTAAGTAAGGCAGAGTCAATTTAATTAAACAAATGCAGGCCCATAAGTATGCTTCAATATCTTGGACCCACACGGGCCAATGTTACGCACACACACATAAGCACACGCACGCACGCACGCTCGCACGCTTCACGCTAAACACAGTCGTTGTCAGTGGGGGCGACGTCGCGACGCGTCGTAGCAACATGTCTTTGACTCAGATACGAGATACTCGGACTCGAACTCGTACTTTCTGCCTAGTACTTACAGATTAACACGTACGCACGCCAACTCACACACGCACACACACACAGATACGAGCGCGTATTCGCATTTAAAAATTTATTATTTTGACTGAATCGTTAGCGCTCTGCTCGTCGGCTCTCTCTCTCTCTCTATCTCTCATTCACGCTCTCGCTCTTTTGCCCTTCGAAATGTCAAAATATTGCGAAAATAAAATTTGTTGACTCGCTCTCAGTTTCGCTGAACGACGTTGCCAGCCTCAAATTGTTTTCGTCACATGTTTTCAAGCTTTCCAATGCAAATGAAAGCAGCTGCGCAGTTGTCGTGCTACTAACCACTCAGCATTTAATATGCCATAATATGTTTAGCAAGTTTAAGCATAATGTTCTTCAGTCAATTAGTAAAACAATTAAATACAAATTTCAAGTCACCTTCATGAAATTTCACTGCCGCCCAGCTGGCGCTTAATTTTCCAGCAACCCATTTCAATTTTAGCGCCTTGCTCTGCGCAGCAACAACAAGAAACACAAGAAGAGCGAAAATGCACAGCTGGCAGCGTCGCTCTCGCACGCTCTCTCGTAATATTGTGGCAGTGCTCTCTCGCACTCTCGCGTCGTAATCGGCAGCAGCGGAAGAAATCGAAATCCAATTGGCATGTCGCCTGCAGGTTTAGTCCTGACTCGTACGCGTAGCTGAAAAGTCCTTAAATTGCCTTCTAAGAGTGCGCAAATAAAAATTATTTTTTTCAGTGTTTTGTCTCTCTGTGTATGTGCGTATCTATGTGTGTTGCGAGTGCATGTGTGTGTGTGTGTGTTGTGTGGAGCGCGCGCTGCAACAACAACAACAACAATAACAGCCAGCACGGTGTAAATTTACAAACTCAAGCTGAACAATAAAGCGCATGGTAAAAAGAAAAAAAAAAGAAGAAAAAGAAGAACACGCACACACACACAAACACTCCCGCCCTCAAAAGCAAAAGTAAAGATAAAGTTGAGCCAAGCAAAGACAAGGACAAAAGCTGTGATTCAAGCCAAAGACACAACAAGCAGGCGTAATGTCGATGGCCATGCTGCTGATGTTGTTGTTGTATTTGTTGTTTTTGTTGTTGTATTTTCGCCATTCGATCGAGTGACAGCATCCCAAGGCGCCGAAATAATATCATGAATGGGCCGACATGGCGTGCACACTGGGCCAAAGACAAAGAAACTGAACAAAGACAATGAGAAAGTCACTTCCATTTCCTTGCCAGCAAATGGTCAATCTTGAGCCACTGTGGGGCGCAGATTTTGTGTTATCCGTTTTGGTCGCTTCGTTTACCGCTAACTGCTTATGGTTCATTATTGCTATTGGTTAATTTATTTGTGCAGTTGGCAAGGCACCGTTTATTGCCCCGGCGTTCCAAGTCTCATTCGCAGTCTCAGAGTCAGTCTCAGTCTCAGTCTCAGCCTCAGTCGCTGCCGAAGTCGCAGTCGCAGTCTCTGAGTCAGCGCTTGTTCCTGCCGCCCCCAAATCGTCCGGTGTCATGCGGAGGGTTGTTTTTTTTTTTTTTCTTTTTGTGCTTTCGTTTCTCGTTTTTCTCATTTATTTATATTTTTCGCCACGTTGCGCCTTCAACTTCAACCACTTGCCGCTGTCGACGTCATCGCACGCGCCCTCCAATCCGACCCAGCTACAGGGGCTGCAGGGGCAGCCATACAACAACAAACCAAAACTTGGTGTCATTGGCACTCTCTCGTTTTTTTTTGCTTCTCTCCTTTATTTATTTTTTTTTATTTAAACTTTTGCTTCGACCTGGGCATCGCGTGCTCGACGAACATAAAGTTAAGCTAAAGAGTTTGGAAACGCATGGAAAATCAATTGATTAAAGGGAATCGCTAACGGAACACTTAGTGCTAGTCCCACAATTGGCATCAATCTGCAATGCAAACGAATTTGATAATTGCTAGGCTTCTAGTACGCAACGATTTGCATGACATGCACATGACTGAAATTGGTGCTCTTTGGCGTGGGCTTTGCAATAGCTGTCGCAACGAAAGCAAGCGAATAATCAAGAAAACATCAAATGCACAAATGAACTACTGAACTACTACTAATGATAACGCGTCATAATAAACAATAAACCATATATAGTTGCAAATGTATATGAGTCGCTAATGTTGCACCCACCACCGTTCACCGCACACCGCTAACGCAACCGCTTACCGCTCATCACCAACACCAACACCACTGTTACCACCACCACAACCACCACCACCATCACCACCATCACCAATACCAACCAACAACTAGCTAGCTAGCAATAAGAACCACCAAGCAAGCAAGCAAGCACGGCACTCAACTCTGGCTTGAGCCTCGCCTCGCCTCAACTCAACTTGAAGCAGTTGCAACGGAGACAGCGCGTTATTTGATGACGCTTCTCAAAATGTCTTCAACGTTTTCATTTGCAAAATGTGAGCGACTCTTTACAGTTATACCTAGTACATATCTAGATACATAGATACATACATGCATATGGGCATTTCCTGGATGTCACGCACGTGGCACTCACACGAGTTTATTGCGAAAAAAAAACACAGCGTCATGTTCTACATATTTTATACATTGGTTAAATTGTCTTGTATATAAACTGTTGGCTGCTCTAAAATCAAGCCAAGGAGGAGTTTTCAGTTCGTATTTATAGAAACGCTAAATTGAACTTTATTTTTTTATGGTTTCTTTATTTTACTTTATAAAATGAGCAGTGCTTACAAGAAAGTTTTAAGAACTTAATTAGTAATGAATTTAGGTGCGTCTAACTAGAAAGCGAAAGGTTGCTGGTTCTAATTATGTAGGTAGCTCTAAAATCAAGCTAAGGAGGTGTTTTCAGTTCTTTGTTATAAAAGAGCAAAATTGAAATTTATTTTCATTGATTCTTTCTTTTACTTAATGTTGTGAATAAAAAACCCCGGACCTCGAGCCAGCCAAACAGACAATTATTTCTTTTACTTTATAAAATGAGCAGGGCAACAAGGAGTTAAGAACTTAATAAGTAATAAATTAAGGAAAGTCGAACTAACAAGCGAGAGGTCGCTGGTTCTAATTATGTAGGTAACTCTAAAATCAAGCTAAAGAGGAGTTCTTAGCTCGTATTTATGAAAAAGCAAAATTGGATTTTATTTTTATGGTTTCCTTCTTTTACTTTATAAAATGCAGGGCAACAAGGTGTGAAGAACTTAATAAGTAATAAATTGATTGCAATAATTTAACTTATTTTAAAAATTGTGCAGCCTAAATTCCTCCTTTCATTCAAGTCGTTTCACTTAGAGTACTGTGATTCGTAAAGAATTTTCTAGTTTCATTTTAGTTTATAATTGAAAATCAATCAATTTGTGAAAATACGTTTGAGTATATTTTTTTTATTTTTTTTTATTCCATTCATGTTGGACTTGTCTGTGGAAATGCCCATCTGCGTAATCCTAGTTCTCGTTCTCGTTCTTGTTCTCGTTCTCACTATCAATAAATGCTGTTAACTACTAGCGTAGTGACCCATTCGCACACACCCTACTCCACGTAGCTACCCCCGAAACATTCACCCCGATAACGAATTTTGCTCCCAAAGTTGTTGGCCAACTAGTGGCATTATTTTGTGTCATATTCCAAGTTACATGTTTGCCACTTTAGTTAGTTGACTGACAAACAAAATTCTCGTTTTTTCAAATTTTGTTGAACAACATTTTGTTTTGCATACCTTTCCTGCAACAACAACAGCAACAATTGAGCTAACCACTTTTCATGTTCACTTGTTTTTTTTCTGTTTTTTTTTTTTTTTGTTGTTCCGCCCGCGCTCAAATTGTCTTCCTTGTATGCATTACGAACACTTCTTCAACTTGTTTATTCACTTCTTCCATTACAAAACTTTGGTCAACTGTTGGAAAATTGAAAATGCTTTGGCAATTATGCAAAGTCGAAGCCTTAAAAAATTGCTATAAGTTGGGCACAGTTATGCGATGGTATCTGTACAGAAATTTAACCACCTATTACCATATACCACCCGTACCATAATCTGTAGTCAAAAAGTTACTTTCAAAAGTCTCGAATTGGCTTAATATTGGCCTGTTTTGGGCGGCAACTTGTAAATAACTCTCAGCCCTGCTTGCACCCAACTACCGGCCGTTCCATAGAAACTCCTACAGCAAAGACAACACTAAAAGCATGCTCCCACCTTCCCTGGTACAGGCTTAACACCAAATCACATTCAAAATTACTTTGAGGTCGGAATATTCCGACTGCCTAATACTCGGTTCAAGATGTTAAAACAGCTGCAAATGGTTGGAATTTAACCTTCATTTAACTTTAAATGTAAAAGTAGAGTTTTATGCGTGAATCTATTTATCGAAATTCAGATAAAAATACATTTTCACAGTACTGAAAATATTGTCCTAACAAGTGTAACAAGTGGTGACCTTTTTTAGTATAAAACTAACTTATTTTAATGGCTCCAGATTCTTATATAGTGTCCAACTAATATACTTGTATAGCTATTTCAAAAAGCTCCGTGTCGACTTCAGTAGTTCGATGTTATAACTTGTTGCGAATTTTAACGTGTCAAGCAATGCAAATTGTTTGCATTAATGAAGGGCAAGCAAACAAACTTTTTGAACAGAGTATAAGATATTAATCTATTATATTCTTTATTAAATAATTGCGAATGCTTGCGTGTTGAACATCTTAATCCGAATCATAGTGAAAAGTTCTTTAAACATTTGCACAAAATTCAAATTCCAAATTGAATGTTAACAAGTACACTTTGCAATTTAGTCAACATTTCTATACTAGCTATTCTAAAACACATTCGCATTTGTTTCCATAGTTTCTACGTTCAATGCGTTCGCTCGTTCGTTCGTTCGTTATTTTAACCAGTTCAATTTTATTGTATAAAGAGCTTAAATAGCCAGAAGAGAACTTCACTAAGGCGCCAAGCAAAGACGAATATAAAATAAGAAACTGGGAAACCAATTATGAAAAAAACAAACAACAACAAACATATAAATTCCTAAAGTGTTTCTAATCACAAGTTCTTCAAATTCTCTCTTAAATAAACATAACACACAATACGCACACAAAAACAAAAACCAAATTTAACAATCATCCATTCAATAAACGCAGCCCAAAGTGCGCATTTGATTAAGACCAAAGCGTACGAGCTTTTAGCAGAAGGTAAGTAATAAGCCACTAATATCTATACTATCTATTCTCTTATATAATGCGTACTCATCCTGATGGATGAAACTATAATTTATCAATTAATAGCCATCTAGTCGAGCCGTAACAAGTGTCAGTAAACCATACCATATATGCATATACCAGCTGGCACTTCCAGGCCTCGCCCAGTACAAATTATTGTGACCCACGTGGTACATTTAAATCCATCCGAACTATCTTGATCTCCATATCTTAAGTTGTATTTCACTTGATGATGCGTAGGCGAAATCTTCTTTATCAATCAATCGTTTTCCAAATCATTTTCAAAGAGGTCTTTCTTAATGTTGTATATATCTACTATAATCTTTGAGATACAAATAATTATCGGTGCTGGAAATCGATATTTATCGATTGCGATATGATATGCGTCATATGCTGTACATGTTACGTCAGATTTCCTTGAATACTCAAAACACACATATTTCTAAAATGTGAATATCATTTTTTTTCATTAGCTGACATTTTGTTACAATGTTAAAGACTTAAATAAAATTGAAAAGGCATTCAAAAGTTTTGGCAATCAACTCGACAATTATGTGACATAAGAGTGGGCTTAGATCAGAGCTTAATTTCCAACAGATTGTTCCTATTAGATCTATGTGAAATCGTAAACCGAATTGAAAGGAATTCAGATGTATTAAGAGTAAATGTATGGTTCGTGATTCCTGAGTTTGATCGAAAAATCTTAAGAAACAGAAAAGTTTCCGAAATCAAAATGCATTTTTCGGCCGATTCTTTCTATTGAGCTATCTGAAATAATTGTCTGATGTAGAAAGGATTTTACTCATATATATAAAGCATAATGAAGCTCTTAAGTGCCAAGTAAAGTTCTTGAAAAAGTAAAATATTTCGTAAGAGAACAGAGCATGGGCTCAGCTTAATATGGAATAAATATGGATAAATATAGATATCCTTAGATGTTTAGATAAGGTTTCCCCTTTCGTAGGGGAATTCTGGTTATTCCCAGACATTCCGAATTAGTTCAACTGCCGAGTGAATGAATGAGTGAATGTTTTTCACTGTCACCACTATTTGATCACTACACAAAACTAAGATTATTCCATTTGTGCCTTTTCCTCTTCTACAGCGTCATGATTCAGCCAAATGTAAAGTTTTTTTTTATTGCTCTTTGTTGGTCACAATTTCGAAGGCAGACGGCGATTTAGCTCTAAAATATTGGTTATTAGCATAGCAGATGGTTGGCATGGGACGCGAAGGGTGGGGGCAGGCGTTTAGCTAAAAGCGGGAAGGGTTGGGGGTTTAGGGGTAGGGATGTTGAATTGCTGACAAAGCAGCAATCGCCTTTTGTTGCCTACTTTTTGGGGTCAGGGACTTGTTTTGTCAGCTAGCTAGACACAGAGAGCACACAGAGGCAAAGAGCCAGCGAGTGGGGAAGAGAGAGAAATTAAGTTGGAGAGTGCGAAAGAGACAGTGCCATATACATCCATTTATCGCTGGCTACCCACAATTTTTGTTACTCATCGCACCACACAGACCCCGCACCCCGCACCCTGCCCCAGTCTGTGACGTCGCCGACTGGGCTGCATCTTTTGTGTTGTGATTCATCGCCAAATGCATATTGGCCGCTTTGGCCACAGCAACAGCAACTGCATCAGCCAGATAAGTGCCACCACAGGACCATGCTCTCCTCCCTCCACACCCCGGGCATGCCCTATCATGGCCCACATGGAGCAATCCTCAAACCAAACGTTGGCGTTGGCGTCCTCGTCATCATCGACTTTGCCACTGGCTGTGGCTGCTTTAGTTGTGGCTTTTGTTGCAGTGCCTGCAGATTGCGCCTAATTTGCCGCTAAGCGAACTGTATTTACAGATGCTCTCTCTTTCTCTGTCTCTCTCGCTCTCTCTCTCTCTCTCTCTCTTTCTCTCTCTCATTTTCTCTATTCTCTGCTGCTCACGCGACTTGTTCCTAATAAGTTTTTGAAGCCACAAAAATTGAGCGAGTCCGCACTTAAGCAGGATACGTTTGGCAAAATTCGTTGTCCAAATAGTCAGAGTGACACATTTTTTCATTAATTGTTTAAATTAATTGTCATGCTGATTATGACATATTATGCTCAGCCCCTATCAAACTATCATATTTCAAAATTAAAATTGCATGCCATTGATATTATTTAAACCCGCTCGTATAAACCTATTTCAGCTTCAAAATGCTTGGAATCGCTAGCATTTAAGATAATCCATCTAACACAAATTACAGCGAAAGCCTTTTTCTGAATCTTAATTACGGGCTTTCCACCTAGTTGCCAACCATAGAGTTGTATTACCGAATATTTAACTTGACCAAGTATTTGCAATCAAAGTCATGGATCTTTAAATATGGTCATGTTAAAATGACGTATTCTACAAATTGGGGAAGCATCTAAAAATATAACTAACTGATGGACTGCGTAAATGGCTGGATGGGGGTTAAATGAGTGAATTGCTAACAGATTGACTGACTGAGGGATTGAATGGGTGAATGACTGACAGATTGAGTGACTAGTTGACTGGCACAGGAATTGATTACGTGAATAGCTGACAGATTGACTGACTAATTGAATGACTGACTCATTGGCTGAATGACTGACTGATTAAATGACATACTGGTTGACTGACTGAATCTGACTGAATTATTGACTGAATGAATGGCTCACAGACGGATTGATTGACTGACTGAAGGATTAATTGGGTGAATCGCTGACAGATTGACTGCCTGATTGACTGACTGGCTGACTCAATTGCTGACTAGCTGTAAGAGGGATTGAATGGTTAAATGGCTGACTGATTGACTGACTGATTTATTAACTGACTGACTCATTTGGTGACTAAGTAACTAAATAGACTGAATGAATGACTGACTGATTGATTGATTGACTCACTGACTAAATGGCTGACTGACTCAATGATTGACTGACTGACTGAGTAACTGAATGGCTGAATGGCTTATTAATGACTGCGTTTAATATGCATACGAATGTCTGCTGTTACCTGTCTCGCTCTTTGATGGTTGGCAGTCCCCTTAGGAGGCTAAGACATCACTTTAGATAAAATTAATTTCCATTAACTGTTCACAATAACAACTAATGCATAGTGGGCGAACGTGTCTGTGTTTGAGGGATTTATAACACAAATATAAGCGATTCATGTCTGATACTTCAATAGGCTGACACCATGCAAAGTGAGTTGAGGCCTGACGTGAACTGTTGGTGTCCATTTAACCGAGTCCGAATCGTTTGCCTTAGACTTAACCCGTCGTCCAACACCCCCTGCCCCAACCCTGTACAGCACACTATTTGATGTATCCTGTGCGCCTCCTCCAGGTAGGCTCGGCGCACGAGCTTATGTGTTTTGTTTGGACGGCGCGTGTGAAAACCGGATATTGTCATATTGCTCGACGCATTTGTGTGCTGCCAAACGTTGCGCATACGCCGCGTGTTGCGGACACACACGTTACCATAGTGCATGTGCGTGTCTGTGTGTGTGTGTGTGTGTGTGTGAGTATGTCTGTGTGTGAGTTTCTTTTTGTGTATGTACTTAACTAATATGCTACGTACGTCGCTTTGGCACGTTGCAATTGTTGTTTGGCGCATGTTTTTTTTCCCTGTTTTGTTTCTTTTTCTGGTTGTTCCTACAACTTTCGTATTGTGTTTCCTTTTTTACCATCCGCTGCAATAAATGTTTGTTGTGGGCAAATAGAAAAGTGTTGGCAAAGGGGAAATAAACGAGAAAGAAAAAACCCCACGACAGACAGACGCTCTTAATGCCCTGCCACAACAGACAATTATTGTATACGCATGGAAGGTTTTATTGCATTTTAGCATTTAAGTCAAATGCTGTATAAAAATAATCGCGACATAAATTGACACAAAGTGGGCGTGTGCACATGCATGTGACATTGAAGGTGAATTGAATCGTGAATGAGCAGCGAATCGATGTGACAGCAGGAATAACATTCATTGACGCATTCTCTAAGCCTAAGATGCCAAGCTTATGTGTCAATGGAGGTGTTTAGCTGGAAATGGAGCTAAAGCTAGGCATGAGCTGATGTTAGCTACTTAGGATAACTGCTAGCAGATTATTTAAACTAGACAATTTTAATTATAGCGACTTTTTTCAAAACTATCCAGTTTATCGCCCTCTCTGCTACCGAAAATTATATATTTATTTTATTTTATTTTTTTGACATTTCAATTGCAGTAGTTAGCTGTTCAACTAGGTAAACAAATTAATTATAATCTATTATGACAGACCTCATACCAACATTTCCTTCTGGTTCGATTGACCAACTAGTAGGTTCTCAGTTATTGGCTTGTTAATACAAATATAGGCAATTATTTGAGACCTTCATGGATTTTTTCATTTATTTGTCATTTATTGATTAATTAATGTGCCACCATGTATGGTAATACTCCGGCTCTTGTCATCCGTGCCACCTGTTCGGCCCTTCCTCTTACTTTCCCTACAGTTTCTGCTGCTGGGGTCGTGAAAAAACAAGTAAATTACCTAAGCCGGCAGCTGGCGATCAAAGCACAATGCAATATTTCGTTAATATGTCCAAATAGGTTATTCAAAACGGAAAATATTCTTGATCTACTACTATACAGTAGTATACCATACCAGAGCTACAGTACTAAACATTGAGCTTTGAGGTCTTGTAAGCTCTGAGATATGCTTTAACCTTATCAAAATATCGATTCTTATCGATTGCATCGAAACAACATTTTAACAAACATTTTAAGCAAACTTGATCTGCGATATTAATTAAGAAAATAAAAGGATAATTCTGTAACTTGGATGAGAAATTAAAAATATATCGATTTTTGTCAAAGCTTGAAAGAGAGTTTTTCCTTAGACTTTGGCTAATAGAAACAAAATCTAAAATGCAGATCAAGAACTTTAGAACTCTTTAACATGATTCAAAAATGATTACTGACCCATCAAACTATTTATTTGTT